TAAAGACTGTAAGGAAAGGAAATATAAAGAATCATTAATTTTACTTGATTAGAGATTATGTAATTGTTGCCAATCAAGAAAAACTAAGAGTTAAATTTCTGTAAATGTGCAACAAAAACAAATAATACCAATGCGATGTTGATAGCCATGATAATTTATTTGGTTTTATTTTCAATGCAATGCGATGATCACAATGAGTGTGTAGGTTGCACCATTACTTTTTCTAACTAAACTGTTTTAATTGCAAAATTCTTTTTCTCCAAAACATAAATAAAGGACATATTTTGTCAAAAACTGTAAAATTAGAATTAGTGGTCAAAATTAATTGTCAAATTAATAGGAATACACATAAGTTTGTAAAAATAAACAAAATCTGTCTATGATAATATTCTTTTTTTTTGTAAAAATAAAAGATAATATTCGTTTGTAAAAATTTCAATTTAGATTTCGATTCAGTTTCGGTTTATGTATCCAAATTTTGGTTTAGATCGATAGTATTTTTTTTCTTTTCGATTTAGAATTTAGTTTTCGGATCAACTATTTCGATATAATTTGGAGTCGGATCATTGTATCCGGATTAAAAACACTCTAATTGATTCTCACTACCGTTATCCTAAACCCAATGATCATTAATTAATCAAATTGACAGTGAGTTTTACTTTAAAATACATTTTCTCGGTTTCACTTGTAGAGTTTCTAGTCACGTCACATGTAACATTTCGAGCAACTCTCGACTCTAGATGATGTTTTCCATAACTTGTAAGAAGAACAAACATAAACAAAAAGTAGGGATTTTTGCAAGTTTGGTGTGGATGTATCAACACCAAAAAAAAAGAAATCTAAGATGATGCATCTGAAATCTGAAAACCACTAAATGTCGCGATCTCTACGGCACTCAGGAGGAGGAACCGGAAATCGAACACGGTCAGTACAATAGTTGTAGATAGTGTATCTCTTACGAACCCATTTGAGACGCTTGTACTGGTTAACGTCCAAGTCTTGGAACTCTTTCTGATCCCACCAACGTTTTCCTTGCGTCTCGCAGAACTTTGCATTCACCGAAGCCTCACATCCATCGATGTGAAAACCTCGGTAGGACGCGACGAAAGGAGCATTTGCCCAGTTAGTCTTCTCTAGTCCTCCTCTTGTGGCCCAGTCATCTGCGTTCCAAAGACTCGAATATATCTTCATCGGTTGGTCGAATGGAAACTTCACACCAATGTCTTTGCTATTCTTGAATACTCTTATCGGCACGTCATCCACAAAGAACCTGTTGTATTGTACAACTATACACTTAGCTTTGTGAAAAGAACAAATTTGAGTATAAAAACTACACTTGAGGAATGGTAACTTACACAATCTGATACATGTTCCAAAGAACTGAATAGGAATGATAGTCCTTGGAAGGGTCAAACCAAAGGTTGATCCGTTGCTCTCGGTCTCCTTTGCCTCCCGTAAACACGTTTGTCTGTAAAATGTAAGGCTGGCCTGTTCTGTTCCCAAGAAACTCAAAGTCTATCTCATCATGTTCGGAGTCCTGCGATGACAACTGCATGAAAAAAGCAAGTTAACAACTTTATTTCAGTCTGACACTGATAAAAGTTGTTCCAAGTTATTTAGTAAACGAGTTTCACATACGTAGAAGGCGGTCACAGTTCCAGCAGAGTCACCAGGAACCATCTTTATGTGCATACTGAAGTGACCAAATAAGTAAGAACCTTTGGACTGAAATCCGGTACCTTTTGACGCATTGAAACAAGAACAATCAGAAGGAGTTTTAGAGAAATGTTAAGATCAAAAGCTGTGTCAGAAACTCACCAGTATACTTGTCGAGGACGAGATGCACTTCAGAACCACCACTAAGATACTTAATGTGATCAAAAGCCCAAGTAGGGAAATAGTTCCTACCAAAAGGAACATCAATGGACTTTTTAGGTGGTACACCAAATGTAACAGTGGCCATAACCAGAAAGGTGAGGCAAAGAGTAAATGGAAGACTTGGACCCATTCTCGCTCTTATTGCACCAAACAAACATTGCGCGAACGGTTCTATTTATAGCCATATAGCAGCTTGCTCTTAACATTATATTAGATTATTACTATAATCACTACACTTTGGGTTTCTTGCAATGTTTTGGAGTAGTCTTGTTAGTAACTTACGCAGTGTTGCAGATGCACATGGTCCAATACTGACATGATGATAAAACTCTTATCCCCATGTTATCGTTAATTAATGCATCTTTGGATTCTCTTCCTTTAAATCTGTGGGCTGAAGATAATAAACAACACTGTTTGACTAAAGATAGATACCACCGACCAGATTTGCTAAGGAAGCGTTCACGTTTTCGATTTAGACTCCAAAACCGACCTGATAAATGGGAAAATATCACAATGGAGAAACCACAGAATATATCAGTAGAGAAGGAAACATTTTGGGAGAAGACAAACCAAAAAGATCCAAGTTTCAAGAAGTGATACAGAGACATCATCACATGACTAAAAAGCATGTGGGATTCACCATCGCATCACTGGTTATATATTATTTTACTGTATGACCTTACTTGTGGACTACTCGATTTGAATTCATTATAATGCAAACTGAAATTGAACAAAAACAAAGTTTAAGAAGAAAAAAAAAAAGCAAAGTGTATTTTCTCAAATTATGCATAAAGCAGAAATAAAAGAATAAAAAATGCTTTTGTTGTTCCAAGACTCGTGAACTAGAAGAAATACTTCTTTATTTTCTATTTGGTTTATGTTGGAGCTAAGGCAGCTCCATTCGTAAGAAAATATCAAAATCAACTTCCCAATCATCACATTTCATAGCCCACTTTATCAATTACAATTGTTTTAAGAAGATATCCTCTTTAAGAAGATATGACCGGAAACAGAGGAATGACCGGATTTTCACAAACAATCAACTCCCAGCAGAGATCCTCTTTAAGAAGATAGACCGAGGGGCCCGTGATGCTTGTTTGGCTCTCAAGGACAAAACAAACATCAAGATTGCCTAGGATTGTGGTTTAGAGGAACTTGATCCTCTTTGTAATGATTTTTCTTTCTTTTCCTTTCATGGTTTATGACCGAAGGTAACTAGCTATATGCATCTCTCCCTCTTATGTAACTTCTTAGAAATATGAATACGACCAGAAATTTAAAAAAAAAAAAAATTACAATTGTTTTAACCCCCACCAAGACAAAACGTTAGGGCATGTTAATCAACCTTGAACAAGGTCATAAAGACAAATTCTTTGTCTCCTCGGCTAATCAGATAATTCTACATACATTAAGCCGCAAGAATTACAAAATATAAAGCTGTACACACTAACCAGATTAGTCGTCAGATAAACAGGCTCTAATTAATAGGCGACTTGTGTAGGTTCAAGTTGGTATTTATTTTAATGGACTATGAAACGGTAGCCTGGATCCTCAAGTGCTTAGTGCTCAATTAATCACAGAAACAACAATAACAAGAAAAGAAAATTTGTATTTTATTCGTCAAATGATCATGTACGTCGGTACAAGTTGAGAGAAATTAATAACCATGCATGGCCTATATGTCCCGTTTTCATTACACAAATCTAAAAGGTTTGTACTGCGTCCTCGTTGTTTCAATACCCAAGTCGGTAAAATGCATGTTATTGACCAAAAAAAACAAAAATCTAAAAGGATCTTTGCGTCCTCCACAACCCCCAAAAAAAATCCAAGAATAAAGGAGGAGAGGCGTTATATGTATACTATAAGATTGGAATCAGGAAGATGTATCTTGAATACTCTCGAGAGATAGCTGCTTCTGCAACCACATTTGTCGGTGGAACCGAGTAATGAAAAGGTCAGCCACTTTGTCTATCTCATCTTCCAACCGAAACTCTTCTCCCTTGTCCTCCTTAGAATGCTTCACCAAGTCTATCACCGAACCCTCTGCTTCGAACAGCGAGTGTCTTAGGTCTGGGTACTTTTCCTCGTCCTCGTCCTCTTCCTCTTCTACATATTGATATTGTACATGGGGAGAGACAGGAGTACTAGACACGGCGTTGTGGCTATACACCACCACCATGTTTTGATCATCCTGATGATCTTGTTCCTGACCATGGTCTATCTTTCTTGATGTTGGCTTTGCCTTGAGCTTGTGAGACCACGAGCTCAACACCATGCTTTTGTTATGGAGCAATGAGAATATTACGAGACGGGACTTGAATGCTCTTGTCTTCCTCTTTAGCTCCTTGGTCTTGTCCTTTGCAAGACCAGCCAACATGTTTATTATATGCTTCATGAATTCTGCCGCCTTCTTCATTTTTTTTTTATGTTTGCTTGGCTTCGCTTTTGGACCCTAGTTTTTTAGTATATTTGTATTGTAAAAGGAGAGTCTATGGAGAATGGAAAACGAGAGAGATGAAAGACGAGTTACATTTATACAATCACAATAATGGTGTAGGCTAAGGAAATCCATAAAGCTAGGAGGACACGTGGCTATGCCTGGCTGGTTTAGATGATCACAATTCATAATCTACCGGGGACCATTCCTCGGTTGCCTTCATCTTTTTTGCACTACTCAATATCTTATTTTTAAAAAATAATGAAATATTTGTAATCAGTGAAGATTGAAACTTATTGAACAAGGTAGATTAAACGTTAAGGAAACAATGTGAAGGTGTTAAAATGTGACAAATATTCCTTCCTCATTGTTATTTTTTCTGTTTCCATATGAATTTGTATTAGTCAACAAAAATAACTCTCCCAAAAACTCTAGTCTCAAAAGGTACGACGAACCTCTTTGATTAAGATACGTTACCGTTGATTGAGGCCAAATCACTTTACTTTTTCTCTTTAATATCTCTTTTATTGCCTTTTGCTGTATTATCATATTCGCGAGTCTCCTTTTTGTGTTGTATAATGTTTTGAAGAAAGATCTTCAAACATGTCTAGATATATTTTGACCAAACACTAACAATTTGCGTGAATGTGATATACATACTCATCATTTGTCTAGGTGGTTCTAGAGATTAAACAAAGTAGATTATGTGACTTACGGAAACAATATATTAAGACAAGTGTAGTTTCGCATCAAGAAAAAACGTGAAAAAAAATACATATAAATATTCGCACCACCACAAGGTTACTTTTTGGCCGTTTCAAACTCTCATTTGATTGTTTTATCTTTTTCTCCATAACTTAACCTCTAAGGTTTCACCATTCCTCTTCCCACGCGCACTACTCCACATTTCAAGCTAACAAAAGCATCCAAATACACAATACATGACATATATGGGCTTATGCTTGGGCCCATTAGAGCGAATGACTCGAGGGAATATGATTTTGTTTCACTTATGTTGTTGTTACCCCCTGATTAACTAAAATAGCAAAAATACCTTGACAAACTCCTCGGCTTTGTAGTAACCTAACGTATCTCAATTGTAGTTTGTTCTAGTGAATCATCTAAAACCACAAAGAGAGGAAGTTTGTACACGACGATCAACTGTTATTCGCGCACAGAGGCGGCGCTTAGAAGTCAGAAGATCCGATGTTGAAGACAGCTTCATGTTGTTATGCTTCCAAATGCAAGCTCAATGTTAGTTTACTTGAGTTAACAATCAGTCGCCATATACCTCAACAACTGCAATTCACGCACATAGGCTCCGATGTTGGAGATAGCTTCATGGAGTTAAGATTCCAAATGCAAGCACAACATTTTGTTTAGTTGAGTTAACAAATCAATCTTCATCTACCTCAACAACTGAATCATACCTCCTTTTGGAAGTAAAACATGCATCTTTCCGCAATTATTTTAGTAAATGCAAAAGAGTACCAAACTCCATAACATCTTAAACTGCAACCAAACTTTGTAACCAATTCAAATTGAACATTTATCTGGTTTTTGGAGATAATGTTTTCATCATGCAACATTCATTTGGTTTAAAGCAAAGACAGCCTGAGGTGAGAAAGACAAAGACAAAGACGATGATGTGAATGAAGATAACACTCCTTTGAAGCCCAAATCAGTGAAAGAGGATGTGATAACAACTCTTAGCTTAAGCAAGTCCCACGTCAAAGAAGGCCGCAAAACACGAGGAAACCCGGAAAAACAAAACATACCTTGGGTGCCTTATTTGACGTGGGACTGCTTAGCGTTGTTGTCACATCCTCCTTCACTTTTTTGACTTCAACAAAAGAGTTTTACCTTCATCCATAACCAAATGGAACATCCACCAAACAAGAATCCCAAGATCATCACCAATGTCCCAAATTGAAAGGAACAAATCAGCTAAAACGAACACTATCCAACAAAGAAGATACCATAAATTCTGTCATCATATTCCAGCTATACGAGGATTGAACATTAAGTTTGAACAAACAAAACCGGATAAAGACAAGCAGCAACAAGTTCCAAAAGAGTTATAACGATTTTTGAGAGCATTCAAAAAAAAGGCAAAGCAAGAAGATTGATACAGATTCAAGCCTGAGTACCAGTCAAAGACTTCATCTGAATATGATTAGAATCATTAGAATTGGTAGGTAAAGCTTCATAAGAACCTGTTCTTCGCACTCCTGCAGCCATAGCCACCATCGTGTATGTCACAAACAAGAGAACCACCACAAGCACGACATGTACAGTGAACATTAGATCCAAGACCGAAACAGCTCTTAGCTTTGACTCCTGAATATCACATTGTGTCGATCCTTCAACACCGCCTTGAACATCAAGAAGACGATGACAACCTTCAGGAATGAAACCATCGACGTATAAAGAGAGTCCAGTCTGAAGTTGCCAGAGACCTTGAAGACAAATCGAAGCAGCGAGTGCAGCGTCGGCGATAAAGAGTCTAGGTCTGCAAGCGAGGAGCAAACAGAGTAGTGAGCATAAGGCTGAGATGCGTGCGGAGAGTGAATCGCAGTGAGCTTGAAGATCCGATGTTTGGATTGAAGCCGATGAAGAAGCGGCGGAGTAATGGAGGAAGAAACCTGCGGATGCGAGTGC